TTCTCATTTTCAACCACACATTCTTCAATAAAATAATATTTTCCATCACATCAATACTTTTTTCTTCTTTTTCAACCACACATTTCCCATCATATCACTATTCAAAAATCAATTTTTCTCCTTAAAATCCCTACCAAACACACTCTTAATTGGTAAATAGAGAAAAAGAAAATATTATAGCCAAAAATTTCCGCCAATAACTAAAAATAATAAAAATGTATAGATTAGTCTGTAAGAATACAAGATCTTTTGTTACAATGTTAAAATGTAAACGTTTAAGAAATTTAGGTGATTTTGTAAACGTTTAAGAAATTTAGGTGATTTTCTCTGTGTTTCAGTTTTGAGTTTTGTGTTTTGAGTATTCATTTTGAGATTGTTGAAAAAAATGTTTTGAAAATATCAAAAATGTGTTTTTGAAAATTTTGGTTTGATTATAACTGAAAACACCCAAAACGACAAATTTGTTTTTTTTGAGTTTTCTTTGTAAATTTTTAACTTATTTTCAAAAGTACGTTTTCGAAAATAAGAAAGATAATGCATTTTCACTATTTTGAAAAATCTAAAATAGAAAACGGCTTGAAAACGGTAAAAGAGAACAGACCATTAAGGGACTGTTCTCTTTGTGTTTCAATTTTGTGTTTTGAGTTTTGAATTCATTTTATGTTTTGTGTTTTGAGTATTTATTTTGAGATTTTTGAAATTGTGTTCTTTCTGACATTTTGAAAATTTTTTTTGGAAAACCTATCAATTGGTCGTTTTGGATTTTCTTTGTAACTTTTTAACTTGTTTTCAAAAACGCGTTTTCGAAAAAAGGAAAGAAAATGCGTTTTCACTATTTTGAAAAATCGAAAATAGAAAACGGTTTGAAAATGGTAAAGAGAATATGCCCTAATTTTCTAAAACAAAAAATATCGATAATAAAATAATGTATACTCTCTCCATCTCATTTATATAGGTTTGTTTTATTTTTTACACGAATCTAGAAATCTTATTTAATGTTATTGGAAAAAATAATTTTTACCAAAAACTTTCCAAATTTACCCTCATTTATTTATCAATAATTAGTAGTAAATTATTATTGAAAGTAATAAAGAAATAAGAGTATATTAGTAAACGAACAAAACAAAACATTTTTAATAAATAAACAAGACTATATAATTGAGACAATAAAATAAGGGAAGTGAGCATATATAAATGGGATGGAGAGAGTAAAAAATTAACTTGTTCGCCACTATATTAAAAAATAAAAATATTGTAGGAGGCAGCCCTAGAACTAAAGCTTAGATTAGGTTGAAAGATGAAATTAGACACGGTAGTCTAAAAAGAAGAAGAAATTGATTAATACACTCAAACCAAATTTTGATAAACGTATTAATTGCGTCTACTAAAAATATAAAACACTTGAAAATCAGCAAAATCATTCCAAAGACAAACGGCAGAACTTCCCATATGATAATTTTCACTTTTAAATTTTTTTTTATTATTAAAAAGTTTTCGTTTGATACGGTATTTTCTGTTACGATTATCCATTTTGAGCGATTTAAAATCTATTAGAAAGCTTGAAACGTGACCATGATAAATATGTTATGAATGCAGTTTAAATGTTGAAAATTATTTTGCACGAATTATTGAACTCAAAATAAACTGTAATTATTAACTCCATTTCTTGCAACATTTTTGAATTTTTTTTAATGAATTGATCGTTTGTCGATTTTTAAATTTGAAAGGTTTGCTTCGAAGTTTGTCGTGAATACTTTGAAATGATAACAAAAACCTCACTTGACGAGCGGATAAAATAGCCCATAAATAGGCCAAAACTAATAACGCCAAAATAGAAATTAAAAGAAAAAAAATATCTAATTCCACTTTTTCACTTTTCACATTCTCATTTTCGCAAAAATCTTGGATGCATCAATTGAATTGATTCAAACAAAATATTAATTAAATGCAAGATTAAAACAAGGTCTAAATTCGTATATTTTAATTTTAAAAAACACGCATGTTTGCATCTAGTTAATTGTTTCAATGAGATACTACGACTTTTTCATAGAAAAAAGACAAATATCACTTTTTCACACTCTCGTTCTCGCAACACCTTGGATGCATCAATTGAATTAATTCAAATAAATATGAATCGAATGCAAGATTAAAACAAGATTTCAATTAATATATTTAAACTTCCAAAAACATATGTGTATGCATCTAGTTAATTGTTTAAATGAGATACTACGATTTTTTTTTTCATAGAAAAGTGATGGAATATCACTTTTTCACATCTTCGTTTTCGCAAACACTTTGCATGCATCTATTGAATTGAGTCAAAGATAATTTTCATATACATTAATATAAAATAAGGTTTGAATTCATATATTAAATTTTAAAAAATGCACACATATGCATCTAATTATTTGTTCAAATAAGATACTTGACTTTTTTTAGAGAAAAGTGACAAAATGCTACTTTTCATAGAAAATTAGGAAAATGTCACATTTTCACATTCTCCTTTTCGCAACCACCTTTCATGCATCTATTGAATTGATTCAAAATTAATTTTTCATATGTATTAACATAAAACAAGGTTTGAATTAATTTATTTAAATTTCCAAAAATGCACCTAATTAATTGTTCAAATAAGATATTGTGATTTTTTTTAGAGAAAAGTGACTAAATGTCACATTTTCACGTTCTTTTCGCAAACACCTTTCATGCATCTATTGAATTGATTAAAAATTAATTTTTCTTACGTATTAACATAAAATAATGTTGAGTTCGTTTATTTGAATTTCCAAAAATGCACATGTGTGCATATAATTAATTGCTCCCAATGAGATACTATGGCTTATTTTTTAAGAAAAATGACAGAATATCTCCTTTTCAGATTCTATGTTTGAGTAAACATCTTGCATGCATCAATTTAATTAATTCAAAGATAAATTTTGATGTATATTAACATAAAACAATGTTTGATTTCGAATGTTCTAATTTATGAAAACACACACGCATACATCTAACTAATTATTGCAATAACAAGTGACAGAACGTCATTTTTCATAGAAAAGTAACAGAACGAAAAGTGACAAACGTCACATTTTCACATTTTCCTTTTGTTGAACACCTTGTATGCACAATTTTAATTGATGCAAATCTAACTTTTCATATGTATTAACACAATCCATTTCCTCTCAAGTTCAATAATATTATTTTCAAACATGCTTCCAATCACACTGAAATGTATGTCGTGCTTTAGATGTTGATTTCAAACACTTTGATTTTTCGATATTGGAAGCGGATTTTTACAAACAGTGTACCTTTTAGATTAAACATGTTGAATAAAAAATCAAACAAATTGTAAACCTCAACATGTTGAACATAAAAACCTAAACAACATCAAAACCAACCAAAATATGAACATATTGAATAAACAATAAAAAATAATATAGACATGGAGATTTGGATTGACTATTTATAGAATTGGACAATAAAATTTTAAAGACGTAGTTGAAACAACCCTAAATCTTGTCTGGTCTTAGATTTTGCTTGATTTGGAACTTGGAGGAGTTGAAATTTTGGAGCTGTTGGAATTGATTATTCGTTTTGAAATTATCGTAATCTTTACGGTTTATTGATTGAAATTTACAATATTTGCTTTTTAATACATGTTTATCATGATTTTTCAAAATGATCCTAAAAATATGAGTATTTGTGTAAGTTCCGCAGGTTGAAATCCTTCCTTGGAGTCTAATATTCTTGGATATTATATTCACACCAAGATTTTATATTAATTTTATAAAATACAATTATAATGATTAAGTGAACCGATGTTTTCACCCTCGAAATTTTGCGCCCTGGGCCCATGCACCCCCTCCCCCCAACCCAAGGGGCTCCATGTGTCCATTATGGACACTGTTACCCCCAATGAAAAAATTATATCGAATCAAATTTTGGGGTGTGTTTGAGCCACATTATTTTAGAAGAATATATTTTGAAATGGTAGATTGATGGAGAATGTGTGGTTGAAAAAGAAGGAAAAAAAGTTATTAATGTGATGAAAAATATTATTTTATTGAAAAATGTGTAGTTGAAAATGAATGGAATAATAAGAACGAGAATTTTAATTTGTACCAAACTGGGGCTTAGTAGTAACAAATATTCTACCTCCATTTTCCAGATCCCCCAAATGAAAAATCATTTTTTTTCCAGTGAATTAATCCAAATGGACACGTGACGTGAACCATTAAATCCACGCAATTTTAATAGTTTCATTTTCACCAGTTCATCATACCCATCAAATCCCCCTCATTTCCTCTCTCCAAGCCCGTCCAGATCTATCGGATTTGCAATCAAATCCCAATCTAAATTTCCCACAAAAAATGTTCCTCTTGGACTGGTTTTATGGGGTCTTGGCCTCCCTCGGGTTGTGGCAAAAAGAGGCCAAGATCTTGTTTCTTGGCCTCGATAATGCTGGCAAAACCACCCTTCTTCACATGCTCAAGGATGAGGTGATTTTTTTTTGTTATTTCATTCATACTAATTGAAAACACGGAAAGTATTTGTAAAAGTTATAATTGTTTTTATTTGAACATGGATCTTGATGGTTTGACTCGATTGAATTATTTGGGTTTTTGTAGAGATTAGTGCAGCATCAGCCGACGCAATATCCCACCTCGGAAGAACTGAGTATTGGGAGAATTAAGTTTAAGGCGTTTGATTTGGGGGGTCATCAGATCGCCCGTCGAGTCTGGAAGGATTACTATGCCAAGGTAGATTAATATATTTAACTGTTTTTTTTCTGTATCTGATTTTATATATTCTGTTATTGGATTGCTTGGAATTGTGATTATAGTGCTTTTATAGCTGGGTTTTAGTTTAGATTCCATTGCAGTTTGATTTGTTTTGGAAATATTAAGAGTCCTGAGGGAGAGCGCTAAGATTAGTTATTGATTTTATGCTCTAGTGGGTATGGATGTTGGTGTTTTTTTGCAAATGTTTTGAGTGATCTAATAAAGATGGTTGAAAATGTGTTTTCTGCTAAAGGTATGGGGTTTAATTCTCTACTTTAAAACCTTGAGAGGTTGCTCAATTGGTTAAACCCTGGTTTGCTCCCCAATGGTCACCAGTTCGAGTCCCCTCAGGGCCACTGAGGTAAGTACCCAACCGTAAACTTCAGGGCTCTGTGAGATTAATCAAGTTGCGCGCAAACTCGCCCGGACATCTACGGTTATAAAAAAAAAAAGGTGTTTTCTGGATCGTATATGGAGTGATTTCATAGTTGGAAAAGCATTGAAGTCAATTGCATTTGGGCATTTCTTTTGTTTATGATGTAAATTTGCGTAGAATATGACTATCTAGTACAACATCAGGTTATTAGCTTAATGTCATTGAGCTTGAAGGTTTATGATGTGCTTCTTTCTCCGGTGTAATTTGAGCTTTATGCTAATTTCTAATTTTACACTCTGATTTTGTCTCTAACTGAAACCTTTCTGTGTACAAGTCAAACTTATTATGCCTTTGCAGCATAGATGGCATATTCAGATGGTAAAATCTAAGTTCCTGCTTATGCTAATTTTCTCACGAATGTATTCTTCCGATGATTTTCAATATTGATAACAGCTTGAATTATTTCCACCTGCTGCTTGAGATATCCATAAGTATATCCTTTATCTTCTGCAGCTGCTACCCTTGCTGCATGCCATTGGATTGGAGAAGTAACATAAATTTTGTTTCGTTCACACGATATGTTTCCTTTTCGTCATCTTATCAATAACTTTGCTTCTTTTTTCATATGAACATGTGCGCCATTTGGTTTTTCAGGTTGATGCTGTAGTGTACCTTGTCGATGCCTATGACAAGGAGCGTTTTGCAGAATCAAAGAAGGAATTAGACGCACTCCTTTCTGATGAGGCCCTTGCCGATGTCCCATTTCTCATTTTGGGAAACAAGATTGACATACCATACGCCGCCTCAGAAGACGAGTTGCGCTACCACCTCGGCCTGACTGGTATAACCACTGGCAAAGGAAATGTCAATCTGGCAGACTCTAACGTGCGCCCTTTAGAGGTATTCATGTGCAGCATTGTACGCAAAATGGGCTATGGTGATGGCTTCAAATGGGCTTCTCAGTATATCAAGTAGGGCGAGCATCGGGGAGATGTTCATTTAGTTGAAGGAGAGAGAGAGAGAGAGAGAGAGAGATTCTTTGTTTTTCAGTCTGTTAGTGGCTAAAATATTGTATGCTTTGTGCTTTCAAAATTGCAAGGTAAAATGACATTTGATGAGTACCCTTTAAAAATTTTACCTGATGCTTGAGGTCTTCATTGGTATTTAGTTTGTGTAATTTCTACTATGAATTTTGATAGGCTATGAAGTTAGACCTTTTCCTTTATGAGATTTTGGTAATGATGATCGTTGGACCTTAGACCAAAAAGAAAAAAAGAAGTTAGTTAAAAATCTCGAGCTTATTTTTCAAGCAAAGAACTAGTGCCTGATTTGAACCATTATAACCCTGCATGGATGTGGTCCCTCAAGTGTAAATCAATATATGCACTTGAGAGCATCTCCAATTCAATGGTGTTCTACAATAGATCTTCAAATTGGTCTAAATTCTCTTAAATTAAGAGATTTGAAGGAAATGCGGATTACATTTTCTTAAACAAAGTTTGAATTTTTTAAGTCGGTTAGTTCGTAAATATACAAACCAAAAATAGATCAATTTAAAAGATTTATGACAAAAAGGAGAGAGATTTCTCTCTCCGGGCTAGCCCGCGAGCTGCCTGTATGTCGGCTTGTTTGCATAATTAATTTTGTAGTTTATAAATTATTGATCAATTTTTCATATATTCGAGTAAAAAAAAATTGAAAACGTGGGCGTGCCGACTCAATAAAGGCTCAAGCCAAAGTCTGGGCTAAGCCCTAGTTTAAGGGGACAAGAAATGCCTAGAGCCTTTTTTATTTATGATTTGACATGAAATCTCAAACTTGAACTTGCAAGCTAACTCGATTCAACCTCGCTCGTTGTCACCCCTGTATGTAACTATTTAACGATTGAATAGAAATTTTCAACTAATTGGTAAGACCGCATTTTAAGAGGTTGAAGATTTGTGCTACAATTTTCCTAAAATATTAATAAATTGCTTGATGGTCATCGTGACGCACGCGAAGGCACATTTTAGCAAGTTTCTTGTCCGAACACTGATCAATATGTTTTCATTCACCAGTGACGGTCAGTCTTAAACCTGTGGTGGTTGGGGTTGTTGAATTTGCCCAATAAACCAAACTATACGGAGCTTATTCAATCGTGCTTTAAGGCGCCTTTTCTAACTGTCCTATTTTCTCTTTCAATTCAGCCGTCCATCCACAGAATTGAATCGGAAAATTTTGCTCGAAGATGGGGTGGATGACTAGATTTTTATCGGCAGTGGCGTTTTTTGCAATTGGAGCCGTATTTTCGCCGGAAACCTTTGGATCAAAATCAATCGGCCTGCATTCGCCGATGCTCACCACTCTCTTGAAGCTGGCGCACCTTCTCTGCTTCTCCACCGCCTTTGGCGCCGCCCTCTGGGTGACATTTATCGGCGGCATCATCATGTTCAAGTAAATTACCTAGTTTTTACATTTTCCCCCTTAATGTTACTTACCCTTTCTTGAAATAGCTCTCCTTTTTAACGTAGCTTATGCCTTATGTGTGTGCGACTTTAAAAAAAAAAAGGAAGAAGAAGAAGAGAGGGTTGAAATGATATGAAATTATAGTGTTATCTTTGATTGAAAATATAAATTAAATATAATTGAAACAAACTTATGACACTGCTCTCTTTTTTCATATATCTTTTTGAGGTCAAAATTCACTGGCATTCGCTGAAGTTATAGCAAAATCTTGTACTAAAATTTTGATGAATAGACGAGGTAGGGGTTAATGTCAAATCCCCTGGGCACAGGTGGATTTTGATTAAATAAGTTATGGTGAAATCTCAGAGTCATTGAACTTTTTTGTGCCTAATTAGTAGTTGAACTTATAATATGTTTCAGCTGTTAGGTTCTCTGTTGGCATTAGTTAAACTAACGAGAAAGCTAATGAAAAAGTCATATGTGGCAGTTAACCCCTAGCGATGAACTGGTGTGGCACAAACCTTATTTATAGATGAAAAAGGTTATACCAGTATGTTAAAAGATCTTTATCAAAGTTGCATTTTTGGACAAGTTTCCAAATTATTATTAGTGTCATCGTGTCATTATAGGTTAATTCTCTCATGTATAATTTCCCGCTGATTTAACTACGGGGAATGGATGGGGTCACTGGGTAACTAACCTTAAAAACAAATTATGAATTCACTTATCCAGTAAAGTGATTGCCAGTGAACCCTACTTCGTTGCAACACTTTTATAATGTAATGCCAATAATTTTGTAGTATTGAAGGAAGAAGGGAGTGATGAAAATAATACGAAATTATGTTTTTATCTTCATTGTAGGAATTTACCGAGGCATCAGTTTGGGAATTTGCAGAGCAAGATGTTTCCGGCATACTTCTCAATGGTGGGGGTATGCTGTGCAGTGGCAATGGGCGTTTTTGCGTACCTGCATCCATGGAAGACTTCAACCACTGCTGAGAAATACCAGATTGGATTCCTGCTCGCCGCCTTTGCTTTCAACCTCACCAATCTCTTTGTCTTTACCCCGATGACCATCGAGGTACAAAGTGCACTAATTTCGTAACTTTTTTCTTGATTGTTGAAAGTATTTGGTACTGGCAATTCTGATATTTTTTTTTTCTTGTTTCAATTGAATGTCATGAATGATAAAACTGTAAAATGATTGAGGCAGAAATGTTGATAGGATCACAGGAACAAGAAAATTTGTATGCTTCTTTTGTCTATGAATTACAAATAGAAAGATATAGAAATGAAGATGTTGCAACGATTATGCGATCAAACTATTAGCAAATAATTAAAAGAGTTCTGGGGATTATGACAAAATGGATATAGTTTCTTATCTTTAACCATATTACCATTGATTTGACTTGATTTGAGCATTAACAATTGGAATCATATTAAGTTGAACTACTAGTTTGGAAATCTTGAGCTAATTAGTAAAAGATTTGGATGGCTTTAAGCAATTGAGCTAAGATTGTTACGTGCTACTACAGTAACTAATTTCTTCTTTACCTATTTCGAGCTCAAGGTCATCGATTTGAAAATTTGGAATTGCCCCTGTTGAATTTTTTTAGTTTTGAGTTCTGACTTCTAGGCTAGAAATGGTTTTCGGGCATTTTTCGTTAACCTTGTTTTATTTATTTTCCGCTTGCTGACTATCAAGAAATTTGTGATGTAGCTTTTTGACCATTACAACCTTTTTTACATGGAAGAGACGCAATTTGCGTTATTTCCCCATTTTGAACTGTAACTCATGCTGCCTCAGAAGCAGGCAAAGGAAAGAGCCATTGATAGCCCCCACCCCCTTCCTCCCCCCAATTTGACGTGGCCTTATATTACTCCTTAATCTCAGTGTGTTGTGTGAAGATCATAATCATATGTTTAGTTATCCCATCAACTCCACATCGACCTGAAAATTTAGTAAGTATATGAGCTATTGAGCTCACCATAATATTCCTCGTGCACGAGGGACTTTAGCAGGCCAATTTTTTGAGTATGTTGGAGGGGGTGAAGTGACCTTGTACTCTTCTTCCTCATTATATTGAAAACATGCAACCATGAACTGATTGTAACTTTTACATTGAGTGTGAATCACTGTAAATTTGTGTATGTTTTGCGTATTTTCCAATTTTATTTTTGTTTATTATTGCACGCGAAGGCTTTTTACAAATGGAATTTGTCAGACTCTTTAGGTTTAATATGACTATAGATTCTCGCTTGATATGTAACAGTTGCATTTGTTTCAAACAGATGATGAAGCAAAGGCACAAAATAGAGAGAGAAGCAAGCATCGGGGAAGAAATTGGGTGGACAAAGAACCAAGAAATTGCAAAGAAAAACCCGAAACTTGCAGCCATGAACAAGAAATTCGGAATGATTCATGGACTATCTTCTCTTGCTAATATCATGTCATTTGGTAGCCTTGCCGTGCATTCTTGGTATTTAGCAGGTAAAATCGACTTGTAGATCCCATTATGCATCCCTGTATTTGGAGACAGTGCATTTGGCTATGGTTGCCTATGATCGACTTGTAGATCTCATTATATATCCCTGTATTTGCTCCCGCGTTAAAATCAAACATCAAAATCCTTTGTAGGAGCAACTTTTTTTTTTTTTTTGAACTTCCAAATGGATGCAATCGTTTCAATGAGGACCATTGTCAAGAAAAATGGTTGAGAACTTCCGTAAAAACCCTATAAAATAATACTTTTGAGAATAATAAAACTATAATTCTATAGGGATTAGTTATTTATCTTGGTAGTGTGATCAAATCCAATTTACAGCAGTTGTCTAGGAAGTTTGAGGCGAGCAAATAAGTGCCATTGGACAAAATGTGTTCTTTCTATAGGGGCAGTTTGTCACTTTGGAGAAAATGGGCGTAGCCAAGTGACTGATACTAATAGATGAAAATCCAACACATTCAATTCTGATGGTTCTTATTAAAGCAAGAGAGCAAGCAATATGTATTGCCAGAACTACTCAAGATGTACCGCTGCTGTTGGAACTTGGACAATGAGGCGTCTTAGGAAAATATACGTACAAATAATTGATCGAAAAAATCAGCTTGAGACATGAAGATGTGTCCTCGTATGAACATCAAGTTTGTTTCATGGTTAGAGTTGGCAATATTACAGTGGCTTCACTAGCTTCACCCTAGATCACGAGAATTCTTCCATCTTTGAAGCATTTCGTAGTGAATTTCGCCCCAAAAAAGCGTACTGACAAAATGCACATGAATCAATTTTGAACACCATGAAGAGGATATAAAACTTTAGGATGAAGTAGACAGGACTAACATATATTTCTCTTTCAATTGTCTATTATTGCTTGCTTGTGCTTCCCCAATCATCTCCTCCCCATAATACACTGGTGACCTGAACTCCAAAGTTTGCTTCACATACACAAACCTAACTTTTCAATAATTGCAATGCCTACACGTGTCTTGTACATGTTAACATAACTTATTAATAACTACATTTGCATTGGACTTAACATTAAGTGAAATGTCATAGAAGACTACTTACGGATGGGAAGCAATAATTCGTGGAAACAAAGAAGCCACAAGCATTCCCGGGACTGGAAGATCAGCAAAACCAGCAGTTTTTGCACATTCAAGATCGAAACACAAGTTGTGTCAGCTCTGAATACTCGATGATGTCGGAATTTCAAAATATCATTTCTTGTTTTAAGATGTCTTCGATTTTGAGCACGTTTTGCGATGATAATGAATAGAATCTCATCGTGGTAAGAGACGCTTTATGAGTGTGCAGTCGAGGTAGCCAAACTTCTATCAGACAATTTAGCGTGCTAGTTTCGAGGACGAACTTACATAAAATTTTCAAATTCTAAAGTCCCATAAACAATTGGAGTTGACCTATTTAACTTATTTGATGGATAAGTAGGGGACTCTTATTTTGTCGGGAAATGATGGGCGTAGAGGTGTTGGGGTGTTCACAAAACCTCCATCGACAACTCACATGGGGGGTAATTTTTTTTAATTGAGTTGGGACCCACCTCATGTGAGTTGTCTATCGGATTCTGTGAATCCCCACCCTGTACACCCACCATTTCCCTATTTTGTCACCAATTGAACTCTAAACTAGTAAAAATGCAGCCCCAAGTTTGACTTAGGAATCAATACACAATCCAGATGGTCTAAAATGCACAATGCACCATTGCACCATCTTGCTTCCTTGGGGTCATTTTCAAATCAATTGATGAGACGTCTTACACGTAGATTAGATATCTACTACTAGTCCGAAATAATGAAGCTTTGAACAGTATGCTGTTTTCAAATTGAAATGCTACTTAAAATGGAAGTCCTGGTCGTGCAATATAGTTGGTATATTAACTGATGTTAGGCAGAGATTTTGGTAGCTTCTGTACACTATTCTGATTGGACATTAAGTAAGACGATGGTAAGAAACGTAATGTACGTTTGATACACTATTAAAAAGGATCGATGGTACAAAATCTTAACAACCGCAAATAATGCCATTTGCAAGTATTAGAAATCATGGCTTCCGAGTTTCAAATTCCTCAAATACTATTTGATACTCTCATTATTAAGAAAGAAAACCATAACTTCATGATCTCCCAATAAATTCCATCAGACAGAAACATAAAACCAGAAAGAAAACAAATTTCGGAGCACAAAAATCACACGATCAATAACAATTTGGCCATAAATAATTGAAAGGAAAAAACTAGTCACACTCGTCGTGACTTTGTTTCCTTTATACTACTCGAAACAAGCATGAAATTTCATTAAAAATGGGGTAACTCTAACCTTTTCTTGTATGTAATGTGATCCTATAAACAATTTTGCAACTGCCCCCATTAACAAAATAAGGGAACTCAAGTTGCTTTTGTTGTATAGCCATATGAATAAGGAATCATATACTCCTAAAAATCTCAGTCTCAATCGTCCTGTATAGCGTCCCCACGGTAATAAGAAGCACAACCTGCCCCGCTAGCTTGATCAATGAATACTGATCAAGCTATATGTCCTCAATATTAAAAATTTGGCAGGCAATAAGAGCACAACCAGCAAATGCATGTGCTGAGATGCAACTAGCCGACTACACCGTTTCAAAGACTCTCTCCCAGCCTGAAACGCGCCAGAGAAATGGAACTGACCCCGGCCAATATTACCTGATGCGATAGGCCTACTCACAACGATACCGCCATTTACTCCCTCTGGTTCCAAAAGTGACCACCAAACTTTGCGGCGCTGTTCTTTCTGGACTTTTCTTATGGAGTCGAGCTCTTGACGGATAACATTCCGAACGGAGTTGAAGTACGACTTCATGTCGTGATCTCTTTTAATGGATCCTTTCAAACCATATGCAGAACGATCACTCAATATCTCAAGTGGATGTGGCGAGTTCAAAAACATTTCCCGAGCAGCTCGGATCTGCTTCTCTGCCTCAATGACATTAGAAACCGGACAACTCAACAGATAAAGACCACTGCCTGAAGGAAGAAGATCATGGGTCGGAGAAAAATTCTCGTCTGGCTGAAGAAGTAAAAACTCTCCCATTGGAGCATATAAGAGCTTCTGTAAACACGCGAGTGCATAAGAATATTTCGGTTACATAAACTTGACAAAATGTACAGCAACAGTTCTAACGAATGGAATTAGCCCATTACCTGGTTATTCAGGCATGGATGATTGCGGAAGTTCCTATTGACAGCCTTGAGAAACCTCACCACTTGATTAGGATAATTGCAAGAGAAAGCTCGAGGAACAATGTCTCTGTGCATTGAAATTGCCCGAATATGACTTTGAGGTAATCCAAGGTCGTGCAGGAGTCGATCACCTCCACACATAATTGATGGGGCACCAAAAGTTATAACAGGAAGTAATGAAGAAACGGGCACTTCGCCTCTTATCAGCAACATGAGATTCAAAAGCAATGATAAACTTCCGCCAAGAGAGTGTCCCGTGAAACGGAATGTGGCCCGATCTCCATGAGATTTTAGATGAGCACGAACTTCAGGCAACATCTGCTCATACATTCCCTTCGCAACTTCATATATGCCTCTATGCACAAGCACATCCAATCCCTAATGAGAAAATTTGTATCGATTCCTTAATTAATGCTATTTCCGCAGATATAGCTCATATTTTAATCCCAAAACATGAAGCCTTCAATAAATAGTTCACAAGCTTGATAGGAAATTTAAATATTACCTCAAAATGAACAGGCTCGAAGAGTAGATTTGCTTGCCATGATGCCACTGACTCGGATCCCTGCAGTAAATAAAAAACAGAATATTGAGCCATAATAATCCAGGCTGTTTATTAATCTTCAGTATACCAAAGTTTTGAATAGGCCATCAAATTAAAGAATAGCCTATAATCTCGTACATAAAAAACCTCAGCGTGGAACTGCATTGGCTCCCAAATTAGATATATTACCCAAAAAGTACTTCAAAACATTTCTATGGTCAACATACCTGAATGACAAAGAATCTAGTGGCGCTCTCATCAACATCGCATACAAACCACTCACAAGGTGATGCGCGAGTCGAGTTTAGATCATCTGCAACAGCCTGCTTTACTTCCTCCTTTGCGGCAACTACTGCTGTCACCGAGTCAGTGGTTGCCACTAATGAAGCTACGTCTTGGTTTGTCATATCGACATCATCTGTTCTTCCACTTATTTCTTCAAGAAAATTTTCTTCCGATGCAGATTTCGAGGACTTGAAGCCAAGAATGCTCTTCGTATGAGAATGTAAATATGAGGCAGCAGAGGCAGCAATTTGATAAGCAGCAGATGCACTAACTCTTTTCCCATTCATCTTCTCCTTGCTTACGTTTATATTTCCTAATGCTTCATTAGCTTCAGTCCCCGCCGCCTTCTCGTCCTCAGCTTTCAATAGCTGGTTTTTCTTCTCCAATGAAGAAGTTACAAAACGCAGTCCATGGTATCTCAGGAGATTCCCTGGCTGCACTAACAGAAATAAAGTTAGCCCTTCCGTAGCAACTCAACCAAACATAACTCCTACAAAATTCATGCTTTGCAGAAAACGAATCATAAACAACACACTAGCAATAATACTTTAACTTCAGTTTCCTATCAACATTGCCAGTAAAATTTCAGAATTTATCTAAAATAAATATCAACTTCAAAAGCAACAGTTAACAATTCTATTCTAACCAAGCAAGATTTGCCAAACCATTTAAAAGCACAAACATTACTAACAAAAACAATGAATTCTTTCAGCGAATCAATCTTAAAAACGTACCTTAATTTGGGTTATCGAATAAGCTAAATTTGCCAAATAAGACATCTGGGCATATAATCTAGCTTCAGCCAATGGCACCTTTTGAAGCATCTTTGAAAACGATTCTCTATCAAATTCAATTTTATTGTCATTTTCTTCATCAATCCCACATACGTCACATTCTCCATGCTCTTCACAGCAATCCTCATTCTCACTATAACCATTATATTTTCCGTCCATTGCCCCAATTTTGTCCTCTTCTTCCAATTTGGTCCCAATTTCTTCAACAAATTTGTCCTCTCTCTCGTCTACTTCCTTCCACAAGGACCTAACATGCAAAATCTTGAAAACCCAATTCCCATTCTGCACTTCTTTCTCTCTCTCTTTCATTTTGATCTCCTCATTTTCCTCCACCAAAACGGCGTCGTCAACCGCGATCGCCGGCTCGCACCGATTTTTACCTCCAGTCCAAAGAGATCTAAGTGGGTCCCTGAAAGTAAAACCCCACGGAAAATTCCTTCGCTGCGCTCCCGCCGCCGCCACCGACTTCTCCGACGGTCTTCCACTGGCACTGATCTGAGAAGGATAGCTTGTTAGAACATCCATCCCCGCATAACCCGTGACGGATATTGGCGGCGAAATTCCCTGAATCCCCGCCTTTAAACACAAAACATCCATTGTAAACAACTTTCCAAGAAAATAAAAACGGTTTTTTCTCGATTCTTTGTCTTGCAATCAAACTTTAACGACTCTTCGTGCATTTGTACGTATAAATAGCTGTAAAGAAACAGAGTGTGGGGGGCCAACGTGAGATGCCATCTTTCTGGGCTATCTTTGAATTTTTCGAATGCTATTTTGTGATGAATCAATGAATGCTAGTAAAGAAAATGTAGATAAATTTTAAGAGAGAGTGTTGGAGGTTTCTTGCGCGTTTAAAGTAGTAAGAAAACAGGTGACCAAACTTTACACGGTCTTTTCCTCTCTTCCAGGTTTCTTTTGGGCATTCTTTTACCCGGGGAGAAGAAAAAAATTACGGCAAAAGAGAAATTAAGTTGAATTGATTTTAACTTGATTAGTGAAAATGTGTACCAAATTTATTTTTTTTTT